AAGCTTCACTTACGGTCTGTGTGGCCGACAAAACTTTAAAGTCCCATCTGAAAATGTCCCATTGCTGCAGTCAGAGCACTCAGTGTCTCTGAAGGCTGTTCCTGCACAAACATGATGTTTACACCATTTTCAGCATGTACATCATGAAGGATCAGTGAGTGACTGTGACATTGGAGTAATTACACGTGCCAGGTGACTCCACCTTTAATTCTGATTTAAAATTGTTTAAAAATACATATATGATCCTTCTAAGCTTTACTATAAAGTTAATAACACCTCATTCAGAAACCACTGCAAGTAACAAACAGATTATTTCATCCAGGTTATTTACACTACAAGCATAAGAAACCAACCTGTTTGGCTGATGTATTCTCCTGGTTGACATTGCCTGTGTTTGTGTGCTGCCATGCAGCTACCAGCTGCGACGTCAACACAGTAGAATCCATCCTCTGGTTTACAAACTGTATCTAATGTTGATGTGCATGTCCTGTTCTCCTTCAGACCAAAACCTGTGAGCATGTAGAGAGGACACATGTTAGAGAGACAAGGCCGCGATGGTTTCTACACGTGCAGGGAGGGATAGGGAATATACACTGGACATGGGATGTTGAAGATGGAGGTTTCAGGTAGGAGGAGGAAAAGAAGAGCATAGACAAGATTCATGGATGTGGTGAAGAAAGAGATGGAGAGATGGTGTGAGAGAAGAGGATGCTAGGGATTGGTGAAGAATGAGCCAGAGGGGTCACTGCTGTAGTGACATTATGATGTCATTCATCAAAAGTTACTTAAAATTATTTTGATTGATTTACTAAAATTTTGTAATAATTGACAGATTGAATGATTTGACATGTTAATTAAAATAATACATTTATAGAAAACGTTAATGAAATGATGCTTCATTTTATTTAGATGGAAATCTAAAGGTTAAGTGGAGGCAACATCATATCGCAGAGCGTGAGAGCTGATCATGAGCTCATGTGGAATATCTTGAGGCATAATTACTTAATCAGTTAATGTGTTAAACATGTCGCCAGTTTGTCACATTCATTTACATGCAGTCATACATGTTTTAAATCAATGTCAAACCATCTTTAACTGTATTAATTCTTACATCACATTAACAGCAGAACATGCAGTAACAACTTCCCTAGTTTCATAAATAAAAACCTACTTAGGTCACAGATTGTGCAGTGAGTGCATTGTTTGAGTCCACTGGGCTTATCCATGTGGGTTCCATCCTCGCAGGCCACACAGGAAGTGTGTACAGTCTCTGTGCAATCTGTCTTGACTCGATTTCCTGTTATAATAAAAGAACGGCAGACTATTTTCAATGCATATTGTTTTTACTCATATAAACTGTGAAATCTTTAGAGTTATAAAGGTATGAAGTTGAACTTTTACATACAGAGAGACAGTAAAGAGTAAAGTAAAATCAGCCTCTAACATTCAGCTGGATCTTACCTGCAGGACACTTTTGACAGCATAGGTCTTGTGCTTGATACATTGTTGAAGAACACGAGAGAGTGAGGACACTGAAGACTTGCATCATGATTAACTGAAAACAAAGAAAAAGGAATACATTTAAAAGTAGAAGCACGCTTCAAACTAAGAACTAACAGAGAGGAGCAGGAGGTGGAAAAGAAGAAAGATATGAAATGAAATGCACAACAACCTGAAAATGAGAGCCGATCAGTGAAGAAGGAAGATAGTGAGGATTATGATATCAATTTAAAGGAAAAGTAGACAGTATGGGAAATTACATCATCAAGGTGAATTAAACACATGCAGAAGTGATTCAGAAAATACTGAGTGGGTTAAATAGTTGCAGACAAGGAAAAATATTAAGTATGAATTAGTTACATTAAAAAAAAAGAAGCTTTTTGTAAGTTTGTATGAAAAATATTTTACCAGCAACACTGCAGCTGTCAAAGAATTTCCTCTTGAAGTCATTTTATACAGCAGAATGAAGACTTTCCTGAACTGAAGACCGTCTCACTGAGATTTGCAAGGAGATGAGCTGTATGAGCTAAAACAGCAGGAGAACATCTGAAAAAAAAATGTAAGTGAGCAGCAGGAAACCTGGTTCATGCAGATATTAAAACCTTACGGTACAGGTTAAAAAGCAGTATCTTGTTGTTTGTTTATTATAATTAACCTCCTAAGACCTGATCTCTTTCATGGCATGCATTTTTAATTTCTCTTTGCTATTTGGGCTGAATGGGACCCGATGGATGTAAAAACAAAGAATTATCTTTTTACCTGGTTTTGCCTACAAGGGCCTCATATGCACATATGAGGATATTCGTTTTTAATTTTAAAAACAAATGTCAGTGGATATCAGTGGATATCAGGCCCTTGTAGAGCAACATTTAGTATTGTGGTCTAGACAACCCAAAATGTGATGTCCACATATGTGGATGCCAGGTTCTAGGAGGTTAAAGAAAAAAAATATTTAAAGGAACAACATATTGGGGTGAGTGAGCATAAAGTAAAGTTGTAGCATAAAGAACAAGAGGACATAAAATAAAATTGTTGTTTCGGGTTCCCTGGTCCGTATTACTGGAAGCGGGTTTACGGCAGGAACCTACCTGCAGATGTTCTTTGACAAAGTCTTCACTTCCTGTTGCACCTGCAGCTTGTTTAAGGTGTACAGCCTGTAAGAACAGAGACAGTGACGACCATATATTGTGGATTCACTACAAAATCTATAGGATACATCTTTCCAACACTGACAGGCAGCTGTCAGGTTGTCAGCAAGTTCCTCTGCATGAAAGCATTTACCATAAGCATTCAACTTTCTTGGTCCATGAGATTAAAGTGAGGGCTCAGCTCTTTATTTACCTGATGATGGAATGCTTTCACTCATTACATACAGATGTGCTTGAATCAGCTCACTTAATTGAACTAATTTTAATCAACTCTTAAGGAAGTCAAAACTCAGAGTTAGTCATCTCAGATTTCATCATTTCAGAACAGGACCCTGTTGTTTGACTCATATAATATGCAGAGACCACTGAAGAACTACAGTTTTATGGAAAATTGTTCAAAGGAATGATTTTGACTTTATTACAGCTAGCATATTAAAGTCGCCGCCCTCTTTCAGCTGCTCCCTTTCCAGTCCCTTGCATCCTCCTCTGACACACCAACCCTCCGCATGTCCTCCTGCTACATCCATGAATCTTCTCTGAGGTCTGCCTCTTCTCCTCCTCCCTGGCAGTTTTATATTCGACATCCTTTGTTCAGTACATCTAGTTTCTCTCCTTTGCAAATATCCTCAGCTCTGCCTCTCTAACTTTGTCTTTCAAAGCGGACCCTCTGATGTACTCTTTCCTCCCTCCTAATAACAATATTAACATCTTCAACTCTCCAGCTCAGTCTCCTGTCATTTTGTCAGTACCACCATCTCCAAACCATACATTATAGCAGGTCTCACTACCATTTTGTATACCTTCCTTATCACTCTCACTCTCAACAGCACCCATGGGACGAATGAAGTTAGGTGAATCTGAATCTTTTGCTATTATCTTTCTGTCACAAATCCCCCTAACACTCATCTCCAACCTGCCTGCACCGACTTCATCACTTTTCTTGTGCACTGTACATTGCTTTGGATATTTGACTCCAGGTAATTAAACTCATCTACCTTCACTATCTCTATGCTCACTTTCCCACCTTCCTCACCTGTCATTCTCGCACATATTCTGTCTCCAGAGAATACCCCCACCTCTCCAGGCTCGCTTCCACCTTCTCCCTACTCTCAGTACACATACTTCTCTTCTCTTGGCACCCATCATATACTTTCTCTAGATCCACGAAGACACAGTGCAATTAACTTCCCCTTGGTCATCAATACCAAACTATTAAATCTAATAATTATATCCGACAAAGTTTTTGCAGAGATCAGTTTGGTTTAGATAAAAGTCTGTATTGTTTCTTGTTACAAAGCATTGCTTGAACAGGACTTTGGTTACTGTTTTATTCACCGTTCACTTTCTACGGACCTGCTTTCTCCACTATGGTCCGCAGCCGCATTACAAACAGCCGAATAGCTGCTTCGTTTAACAGCCTGTAACCAAACATTCTGTAGAAGTGATCTAAGGAACTTACCGTCAGCGGTATAAGACGAAGTTCGGAGAGTCTCCGTCACAGCGCACCGTAGGCTGAATAGTTCAAGACGCATTGGAAAGTAAACATCTGCCGTTTCTTGAAAATTAAGCGTTCAAAAACAACGGCTAAGCTTCAGGGAGAAAGCGAAAGTGCGCAGAACATACAGAAGAGAACAAACGCGCAGTCCGTCATGACATTATATGGCCGGTTTCTTATGGAGGAGTGTCGAGTTGGGAGCGGTCGGTGGGTAATAGTGCCAGAGGCAAGGTACACCTTGGGCAAGCTGCTTGTTTCATGACCCAAACAATTATTCACACTCACATTCACATCTATGGGCAATTGAAAATTTTGGGTCCAATTGTAATTGATTAACGCCACATTTGATTGAATGTTTAAGGATATGTTTATTTAATTCATTATGGGACTCGTAGACCTCCATATTTTCCTACTGTACTTTCATTTTTATATGACCTCTGTGAGGTAAAAGTGGCTGTCATACACTATGATGAGTTGGAGCAGACTAATTCTGAGAGTCTTAGTGAACTTTAAATGAGCTTTAACTCTTTAAAATCTCTTCACAGAGCAAACAGATGCTTTTCTCATATATATTGGTACTCTTAGAAATGAAAACATTTAGTATAGATGAAGAAAAACAGAAGTCTGTCGGGTTGCGTAATCCTGAACTCTTGCCTTTCAGTTTCACTTTGTTTTGCTCAGTGTAAACATCTCTAATGGCAGAA